CCGTTTAGGGTTTTAAGGTTTTAGGGTTTTAGGGTTTTGGGGTTTATAGGGTTGTTCGCGCTACGGGGTTTCTCAGCAAACTGGGAAGCACAACAGTAGGGTTCTCAGGGTGTTGTTTTATAGTGGGGTTCTTAGGGGTTATAGGCGGGTTTACAGTCTCGCAACTTGGACACAGCCAGACGAGGCCGGTGGGCTTAGGGTTTAGGCTTTAGGGTTAGGGGCTTCGGCTTTCGGTGGGCCTTTGCTTTTGGCTTCAGAACCCTAAACCCTAAATAACCACAATTTCCGAGCCCTACAACCATAAATGTTTAGATTCTAGATGATGTAGATACTGCATGAGCAAGATGACTGCTGCATGTTGCTGCTGCTGCTGGTGAGGATAATGATGATGGTGGCGATCATGATGATATGATAATGATACAGTGATGTAATGATGCTGGTGGAGATGATGTTGTGATGATGGTGATGACGATATGCTGCTCATATCGATGACCATGATGATCATGTTGATGGTAATATGGTCTTGTCAGAGGTGCTGGCATGCATGGTGTGATATGGTAAATGACATGATATACCAGGACATGATATGTACAAAAACATATGGGAGTTTCCGGACATTAGGGTTACCGTATTTTGGGGGCCTTATAATATGAATCCTACTGTAGGTAGGGTGCTATATTCGGGACCACTATGTTCGGAAACTCCCATATGTTTTTAATATTTGAAGGCTTTGGGGCCTACCTTCAGGAATTTGTTGTTCCTTTTTTTTTCTTCCCCCCCAACTCCCCCCAAACATTGGTATCTTACTTACCTTTTGCTGATATCTTAGTTGTCCCGCCGAGCCCTTTAAACCCTAAAACCTCAAAAGGAGACCTGAAACCAGCCCTCACCAAGTGTGGCCAGGGGGCTGCTCGTAGTTTGTGGGCACCTGCGGGAGTGCCTGCAAAAGTCATGTGAATGCATATATGGGAGTTTCCGCAAATAGGGGTACCATATTTAGATGTCCTTATAATAAGGATCCTACTATTTAGGGTACTATATTAGGGTCCCCTATTTTCGGAAACCCCATATATATGCATCGCATGCTTAGGGTTTAGGGTTGCGCACATGTACACACATGTCAGTCAATCAGTCAGTCCGGCAGGCAAGCTAGTTGGCTGGCTAGCTTGCCTTCTAGCTTGCTACCCTTACGAACGTATAAGCAAGTAGACAGATCGATCCCCCGATGGCATTGTTGTTGTGTAAGAAAAGAGATGAATAGCTAGTTACATACATATCCTCTGTGTTTCCGTATTTTAGTTAACGAGTTGCGGTTCTTGGGACCCAGTTGCAGAATCACAAGAATGTTTGTATCTCATTCCCAGGATTTTTGATCTCAGCCGTGGGTTCGCTGTTGCTGGGGCTACAGGTACCCCCTCACTTCACACGGTTTATGGTTTAGGGTACGAGGTTGCAGCTAATCACAACGATGTCTTGCCTCACTTACCTGCATCCCCAAGCTGTCGAGTCGCGGCATCGTAGCCTCTGCTTACTTCTTACCTTTGGTTAGTAGGGAATGGAGGAATGGGGTACATTTAAAATTACTATTACTACCATTCTTCCATTCCCTACTAACCAAAGGTAAGACTTACCTGCATCCATGCACCTGCAAGCAAGTTCAGCTGCAAACTCAGCGGCTGATTCCTCAAGACGGTCACTTCCAGCTACTCGTCTGCCGGTTGTGCAAACCCTAAACCCCTGAACGTGATTAAGAAACCTTGGGCCTTTCTTAGGGATTACGCTGAACCGTAAGGCTCTAAGCCCCCAAGACCATAAGACCCCAGCCTCTTGTCGTGGACCCGGCTTGGAGTTGTCGATGGCAGCTGGCAGAGAAAGGCCGCTACACTCTCTGGTTCTTAGTAGGGAATAGGGTTCCTTTAAGGGTTCCTTTAAAGGGTCCCATAAGGGTTCTATAAGGGGTCTTAGGGTATCTACAGTGGTTCAAAGTAGGGACTGGGGGAATGGATTATGGTGACGATTATTGGGGACTATATAGGGACCACTATAGGGATCCATTCCCCCCTTCCCTACTAAGCACCAGACAGTCAGAGTGTGCTGAGGCTGTTAGGGCTTCGTGGTTTGGGGTTTAGGATAATCTACGGGTTTATAAGCTTTGGGTGAGCCGAAGAGCCTTGGCTGAACATGATGTAAGCGTACAGTGCAACTTGTGGTACCTTTTCTTGCATTCTTGCTTTAAGGGGGGGCAGTAGATAGGTAAGTAATTAGAAGTCTACATGTGCGTGTATCTGAAAGTCTGAAAGAGATGAACATGTTTTTATACCAATACGTAGATGTGGATGTATGTGATTAGATAAGTATGTATGCAGAAGCACTGAAAACCAGTACATTTCTTCATGCACACAGAGATCCAAACATGCTCGTTATACTGGCAAGATAAAGCCTGGATTCTGAAGTATCCAGGGAGAAACACATCACAGGTTGTTAGTTCATGATGGTTCTTTTAAGGGACAGGTCATACTGGCGAGACAAAGCCTGAAGTTTGAAGTAACCAGGGAGAACAGTTTCATGGACTTCTATTTCGTGATGGTTCTTTCAAGGGACAGGTCCCCAAACAAGGACTCAAGCACGGAAACAGGAAGCACAAAAACCTTAAACCCTAAACCAGTATTCGGCCATGACATTTTTGCGCCATCGAAGCGATCGAAGCGGTCTCAGGAAGGCGCAGATGCTGCAGCTTCCTCCCCGGCTGAGGCTGCCTCCTGGATTGAGACATACGGAGTTTAGGGTCTAGGGCTTTGGGGTTTAGGGTCTTATAGGGATGGTTCAGGATCTTATGGTTTAGGGCTTAGGCTCTCAGGGTCTTAGGGTTCAGGGTCTTAGGGTCTACTGTAGGGCTTTCGGGCTTAATTCGGGTTCAGGGATTAAGCTTTGACGATTCTAAGTATACCGCAAACCCTCAAACCCTATAAACCCTACAAACCCTATAAACCCAACGAGCTCTATAAACCCTATAAACCCCGACAAAACCCATAAAGCCTCAACCCGTGTGTTTGCTTCTGTGCTTGCTTTAAAGGATTTGAAGCCCGACCTCATCTGCGGTGGCCTCCGGTTCTTCTGGCAGCTGAGACAGCATTTCCTGTGGTGCAAGCTCTGGGGGGGGTGGGGGTTTGGGGATTTAGAGTTTGGGGATTTAGGGTTTGAGGATTTAGGGCTTCGGGATTTAGGGTTGGGGGATTTGGGGTTTGGGGGTTTTGGGGATTGAGGGGTTTAGGTTGGGTGGCTTTCCGCCCTAATATTCCCGAAGCAACCGACATCCATGTTCAAAGCACTCAAAAATATCTCCTCAAAACTTCCCTGGTCCCAGGTATATATTGGTTCTCCACATCGAGGTGCGGCTTAGCAGTACTGCGACAATATCAAACGCCCCAGGACCCTGTTCGAACGGCTATCTCCGGGTTTCCCGAGCAACCTTTTTGAATCAGGGTACCCCTCAACTGTAACAAAGAAACGCCCAGAGCACAAAAGGGTAGGGGCCATATATCAGACCTTGCAACATCCTCAAAGTAACCCCATATAGAACCCTTTGAAGGAACAGCTGCTTTCAGAACGCTTTAGAGTAATCCTTCGTGTAATCAAGACCTTTTAACGGAAGCTCGTCTTGATCCGCAGCACAACAACCTCTATCCTTGAGTGCTCCGAGTAGCGTCCAGCGCCTTCGCGCAATCCTCCAGGACTTGTCGCTGGCCATCGCGGTAGCGCGCTATGTACCTTTCAAGGCCCCAGGGCGCAATTTAGAGTTGTAGGGTCTACTTAGAGGCCCAGGGGACTTAGTAAGTAGGTTATAAGTAGGGTTATATGTACCCTAAATGGAGTTACCCCAATTATAACCCTACTTATAACCTACTTACTAAGTCCCCTGGGCCTCTAAGTAGGGTTCAGGATTTGGGGGCTATGTACCTTTGAGGGCCCTATTTAGGGTTTAGGTTTCAGGATTCGGGCTATGTACCTTTGAGGGCTCTACTTAAGGGTTTAGGGATTTGAGTTCCGGATTTGGGTTCGTCTAAGGGTTACCCCAAAGTAGTTCCTTTTTGGGGTTCATATATAGAACCCTACAAGGTAATCCCAAAAAGGAACTACTTTGGGGCCTGTGGGTTAATGGAAGCATCCTACGAGGCTTCTATAGAGGTTTAAGCTCAAGCCCCCCGGAGCGAGCTTACCCAGAGACTCCAATATCCCTTAATTAAGGAATATACCTTAAATTACCCAGACCTTCCAAAATCCTTTAATTAAGGAATATACCTTAAATCATATTAGGGCCCCTATTATAATTTAAGGTATATTCCTTAATTAAGGGATTTTGGAAGGTCTGGGTAATCAAGGAATATACCTTACATTATAATAGGATCCTTAGTATGATTTAAGGAAGATTCCGTAATTAAGGGATGTTGGAGTCTCTGGGTATAAAGCTGCAATGCAACCTGAACCGTGAACCAATGGGACCAGAGCAAATGGGGCAATCTAGGGGCCTTGGTAATTCGCATTGGGTTTCGAGACGGAATAGAAACGCCACCAGTGTGACTGCCCAGAACTTCAAGAGCAAGCATGCCCCAAGAGTGATATACCTAATCTAGAAACCTGCAACCCGACTTTACCTATGCAATCCCCAAACCCTTAGGCCATAGCCCAATCCTCAACTTGAACCCTCAACCCTAGCCCAACCTGGAAGCCTTGAATTTGCACAGCCTCTACATGTAATTCTAGTCCGGGCACCATAGACTGGCTTCTTGTTGCGGAACATATTTTCAGTTAACATCGCAGATATATGGTCAACAATGCGGTGTCCACGCCGCAGCCACTTAGCTCAAGCTTCTTAAAAAAGATCCCCTGATGCAAAAGGAGTTGTATCACTAGCATCCCGGCAATCACACCCGGAAACCTACCGAGACCTACCTGCACTGGCAAAAAGCTTTTGGCGAAATTGTACAAGCCCTAAAACCCAAAAAACTCGCTAGACCCGGCTCACTGACAATTTTCATCCTTTACAGGATCCCTTTTAGGATCCCTTTACTATACTGAACTTGGAACCCTAGCAAACATTATTTATAATTTTGGCTGTCTCTTGGGGATTATCATAACCAAAAATTCAAAAGTATTTCTAAGTACCCCTAAGTTAAAAGGAACCTTAGGGCCCCTTGGGGCACCGGATTCGTGGATCCAAAGCTCCGCCCTCTGCAGCGCCGCCGGAGGCGAAGTGCCGGTCCCGCGTCTTCGTGGCTGTAAAGTCCTCCCACGGGTGCTTTGGGGTTTAGGGTTTAGGGTTGAGGTTTTAGGTTGGTGTTAAGGGTTTGGGGCTTTGGGGTTTAGGGTTTTTGAAAGGCTGTAGCGTTTCAGGGCATAGGTTAGGTACGGCCCCCATACAGTAAGAGTCTATGATAGGGCTACTATTAAGGTCCTACTATATCTATAGCAATAATACTATTCACCTATTACTGAGTGGGGGCCGTACCCAAGGCATAGGGCTTTAGGGTTGTAGGGTTCAGGGTTCTTATCGGATCGAAGTATAGAGTCTTATACTCACAGTCTAGTGCTCCCTAAGTCTTCCTAGTAATCTCGGAGGCTTTCGAGAAGTTGACGGATCCTTCAACCCTGAACCTGCCGCCCTCCACAGCCCAACGCCAAAAACCCTGAAGCCCTAAACCAACTCTTTTCGATAAGGTTTAGGGTTTGGGGGTTTATGGCTTAGAACTGAACATGCAACGGAACCAGTAAAGCCTAAACCCACGAGACCAGAAGACTTTTCTTTCAAAGCCCCTTGTGCAACATGGCAATGCAAGGTCTGAGCATTTCGCACTAGGGCCTAGAGGATCATAACGCAGACCAAAGCCTCACTCCCAAATTTGGAAGCCCAGAGAAGAAGCCTTATAAGACTCTACGGAACCCCTCTGGAACCCTTTAACCCTTCTGCTATAAGACGGACTCCAAAAACCCTACACCCTTAAACCCTACCTCTAGTCTCCATTGTAGTTCCTTTTATTAGTTTAACCAACTATATATTTATGATCCGAAAAGGGAACCCCAAAAAGGAACTACAATGGAGACTATAGGTAAACTCTGAAGACCCTAAAAGCCCCCCTAAACCCTAAACCCTAAACCCTAAACGGTAAAAGCCCAGAAGTATCGCTGTTTGCTGTTAGGGTTCTCGTCCTCGAGGCGCTGTTGCAGCAAAGAGGACAGCGCCCTGGAGTCACATTCGGTGCTTATAAGGGTTTAGGCTCTGGGCTTAGGGTTTAGGGTTTAGGGTTTGGGGTTTAGGGTTTAGGGTTTAAGGTTTAGGGTTTAGGCTTAGGGTTTGGGGTTTAGGGTTTAAGGTTTAGGGTTTAGGGTTTGGGTTTAGGGTTTAGGGTTTAGGGTTTAGGGTTCAGGGTTTGGGGTTTAGGGTTTGGGGTTTAGGGTTTAGTTCAGGCTTTGGGGGCTTGTTGGGCATCAGCTTAGTTGTCGGATGGCTTGGACTTGCTGACTTTGCTTCTCAGCCTGGAGATCCACATTCGTTGTGCGAAGGTTTGAGGCCCGTCATGTGCTTTTGGGAGTTTCCGAAAATTAGGGGTACCCTATTCCGGGGTCATTATAATAAGGATCCTACTATTTGGAGTACTATATTAGGGTCCCCTATTTTCGGAAACTCCCTTTTTGCTTGTGCAGAATGTCGTCATGTCAGGCTCTTCGATAGGCGTGGGTGCAGGGCTTTTGGTCTTCTAGTATGCTGAAAATTCTGTGCAGGGGCAGAAAGGGTTTGATAATTGGACTTAGCCTTAGAAGTAGCTTATGTAGACTATTGTAAATCAATATAGCAACCCTAAGGACCACAAGGGGGTTATGATTACTAGTCAATCTGGAGACCTTATAAGTACAATATCGTATACTTGTGTGCGGACTATACAGGATTTTCCAAGCAATCAAACCGACCCTAAACCAGCGGTTGCCAGTCTTTTCTTCAGGAGTCAGGAGGTGCGTGCAGAAATTTATGAATAGGGACCCAGAAAAGGACCTAAACAAAAAGCATATGGTTGGGATATCCCAGAATCCCCTCTTTGATAAAGCCAACAAGATAGGGATATCCCCTCTGAAAGTCTATATCTGGGTGCTTCTTTGGCTCCTGAATGAAGGATGCTGCTTGGGGACCGAGGAGCTGCCACGGCTCTTTGTCGACCCTTTATACCCTAACTAGGGGTTCCTTTTAGGGTTCCTTTAAGTGTTACTCTAAGGGTTCTATAATCATAAGGGATCTATAATGGTTCTATACCCTAAGGGTCCATGTACCCAAATAGTATATACTTTGGCCTTAAAGTAGTCCCTATATAGCTACTTTGGGGCCAAAGTGTGTACCATTTGGGTACATGGACCCTTAGGGATAGAACCCTAGAGCCCCAAAGCCGAAGACGCTTGAACCCCCTTAAACCTGGAACCTCAAGGCCCGGAGCCCCGATCCTCCCTTCGTAAAAACCCGAACTGGGCTTTGAAGTAACCAGGGAGAAAAATATAGACTCTTATGATCTTATGTATTTCATAATGGTTCCTTGAAGGAACAGGTACCCCCCCAAAAGTATTCAAGTATGGTACTCCAAACCCAGGCTAAAGCAGAGCCCTGAACCCTATCAGCGCCTCAGATGGTCGGGTTCAACTGCCAGGTGCGTCGCGCCCTGAGCATGGCAGCATTTCGACTTCTACAGCGAAATTCAAGAATTTCAAGACGCAGCAGCGCTTCAGGATTCAAGATTGGGCTGCCATGAAGAATGAAAGGTTTACAGGGTGCTAGGAGGTCTTTCGTTTTCAAGTTAAAGGTCCAAAGGACCTACTACAGCAGATCAACCGCAGCCCTGAATCCCTAGACCCTATACCCTAAGGCAGACTAGATTAGTATCTCGGGAAGTGTATGACTGTTAGGCACTTGGGCCCTAAAGCACGAGAGCCTTTGGGCTTCGAACTGTCTTTGCGGGAGTTTAGGCATTAGGGTCTCTTACGTTTTCGTAGGGCTGTAGGCATGAGGGTCTCTAGGTAGTCTAGGCGTTACATTCGGTATTCAGGACTTCCTACGGATTCTGGGGACAAAGCTGTTCAGGGTTTGGAAGGCTTCTAGGTGTCAGGGTCTTTCGGTGACAGCGTTTTGGGGTGTTTAGGGTTTTCCGGCTACGAAAGACCCGTCCTCCGAGCCTAAATACGATGGCTTTTGATTGTAGGCCTTGTGGCCGAGGGAATTCCATATCTCAGGGATATTGGCGTTTCTGAAATACGGCTCGTTTTCAACATACGGGGATTGAACTCGACCAACACAAGAGGATTAGACTGTGGGCAACGTGAATACTGCCTCAAGTGCAGGTCAAGATCCAAAGTAGATCATGGAATCATAGTGTAGGAACCTCATTAAGAAACCTTGGGTCTTTATTAGGGTCCATTGTGTGAATCCTACTATTATGGGGTTACAGGGCCGGGGTTTCTCAATCAGGTTCCTACAATAGAATCAATAGAATTATGGTATATACATTCTCGAAACGGCGCGGCGAACCCCTGAACCCCAAACCCTGAAACACCTCGAACGCCACCAAACTCTGAAAGCCCCTGACTTGAAAACCTGCATCCCTGCAATCGCGCTAAGCGGCCCAATATCTCAAGGACCTCAAAAACCATAAAGCACTGAAAGCACCCTTGAAGTTTGCAAACAACGCCCCTCAAACCGCACCTAAATGCCCGCAAAGGAGCCCTCAAATAGCTGAAAGGATCTCTTAAAGGACCCCCTAAAGGATCCCGTAAAAAAGCCCTCCGCTCACGAGTTCTCACCCGGAACGGGCGCGGCCTCGCCCGCGGCCGGTGTCTCTCGGCTACTCGCCGAAGACAGGGCTAGCCAAAGTTCTGCAGGGAACTGGTCCCACCTTCTCTGACTGGGCTGTTGAGCAACCAGGCAGAAAAAAGTATAAACTTGCTTTTTTTCATAATGGTTCCGTTAAGAAAAAAATACTAAAGTATGGTACTCCAAAGCCCAGTTGAGGGTCAACGGTTTAGGGATGTTCCGGGTTCAGGGGGACTGGTCCCACGTGGCTCCAGGGCTTAGGCTTTGAGTTGCTTGGCCCTCTTAGTACAGAAGCATATATAGGGCCCCAAAAAAGCACATAAGCAGAAATTAGGATAGGGATATCCCATATAAACCCCCTTACAATGGAGCCCAATAAGGTAGGGATATACCCATATAATGCTTATGCTTATGTGCTTTTTGGGTCCCTGAATATGGGCACTTCGCTGCTGCACGGTTCTAATGAGCAATATCTAGTACCGAAGCATCAAAGGAGGCTCTGCAATCAGAGAACTCTATGTCTGAAAAACCGAGCACAGTGATGCTCACTCATAGACCCGAATACAAATTAACATGGCAGAATGTGCCCCTCAAAGCCCTACTCTAGTCAGAAAGGCCGCTATTGCAATGTAAACCCTTGTTTATAGGATCCTCAACGGAAGGAAACCCTACTCTAATATTATTAAGACCCCTAGTTTGCTTCAGACGGCGCGCCGGGGATCAGAACGACGGAGGAGGAAAGGTCCAATCCGCTGAGTCTTCGGCGACGCCCTGACCAGAAGGAAGCAGAAGGGTTAAGTCATTTTAGGGACCAGGAGCAGGGCCCTACACTCCGAAGAAGCCCCTGACAAGAAGGACATAGAGTTAGTTGCTGAGTTCATAAGCCCTAAAACGTGTACACTTTTGGTTTTATAGTGGGTAATATAGCCCAAAAAAGTGTAAAGCAACTACTAAGCAGAAGAAGCGACACTTGTAAGTTTTGGGTCCAGGGCTTCCAAAACATGGCTTGCTCAAGAATTTGGGGTTCTGGGAGGGCCCTGTCTGGGCCTCCATGTCAGTTGCGGGAGGGAGGGCGCACATCAAGAAACAGGCCTTAATAACTAGAATGGGGCTCCTTTAAGGGGCTCTACCAGGGGTCTATAGTAGGGTTCTGTACTAGGGGCCCTAATAATTAGAATAGAGTTTTGGGGCCCATTATGCTATATTTAGAGTAAGGAACCCCCAAAAGAATATTGGTAATTATTCAAGCCCCTATATTGCACTTCACGAAAAAGGCCTGCACACATTAGAGTGCGGCTTTGGGGCACACTAGTACGGCCATAAACCCTAAACACCCAAAATCCCTGAACTCGAAACTCTTAAACGCCTAGACACTAAAGCCTACCTAAACCCCTATAACCTTAACCCCAAGGGTCCAAGTACCCAATAATCATAGATTCTCCAAAATCCTAACCTACATAACTACTGTCCTAAAACCGAGTACCTAAATTATTGGGTCCTGTGAACAAATGCCAAACATGGGAATTCCCAGGTTGGGAGCAACATTCATCATTGCTCTATATCGGCACGGTCAACCTGCCCCAAGCTCTTACGCAGCCATTGAGAAGACTCCCTGTCGCCTTGGCTTTTGAAGTGAGGTTTGCGTCGAAGCCGAAATGTGGAAGCCTAAAGGAAGCGTAACATGTACGTAGTCGGGGCACATCACTATTCAAGTCACTGCCTTCGCTTCTTCTTTGGCCGCTGCGTTGGCGGCTCCTGGTACGCAAGGTTGCAAAGAGGGCCGCGTTGCTTTAGGTTTAAGTTTAGAGGCAAAGACTCGACGATGAGCCGTGACAGATGTGGTCTTCAAGAACACTCGGTTGCAACAGCCTCGCCAATACAGATTTCTGACTTCTTCGTAGCTGAAAGGCGCAACAGGGAGAACTCAAATCGCCCATGATTGAACCCTAGGCTCTAAACCCTAAACCCTGAATCGTATACTCAAAGTTCCACATCCTAAACCAACTAACCCCAAGATCATCGACCTGTGCCAGGACCCCCCCAATGGCCCTTTAACAGAGCCCGAATTTACTAATGGCCTAATCGTAGGTATTTGGGGTATATTAGGGGGCAGTTGGGGGTCTAATCTAGGGGCCTTTACAATTAGACTAGGGTTTTGGGGTCGATTATACTACTGCTTATCATAAGGAAGCTTGTCATAAGGAACCCCCAACATAGTATCAATAATTATTGAGGCCGCTATATCAAAAACACCATAATACCCCATATAGTACCCCTAATAATAGGACCCTTTTTAAACAGCCCTTTAAGGGAACCCCAGTCTACTTATAGTATTTGTGGGTGTACTGCTTGGAAACCTTAAACCCTAAACCCTAAACCCAGGGCCCCTGGCGGCGGGCCTCCGAGACCTGGACCGAGAGCCACAAGCCTGAGTTGGCCCAGTTTTATGGGATTTTCTACTATTTGCTTAAGAACCCCCAAAAAAATCAAAATAATAATCCCTATATTACCCCCATAAGGAATATATTTTTTATTTTTTGGGGGTTCTTAAGCAAATAGTAGTTTTAGGGCTTAGAGCTTTGGGGGGTTAGGGTTCGAGGGCTTGTCGGATTTAGGGTTTTAGGGTTTGTAGGATTTAGGGTGTTTTAGGGTTTAGGATTTATGGGGCTTCAGGGTTTTAGGGCTTAGGGCCTGCAGGTTTGAGGTCTAGGGTGTGCGGTTTCGGCATTAATTAATTCAGGCGAAGATAGAGACACGAAAGCTCTTTTGTACCGTGACGGCTCTGTAAAAGCAACGGCAGGAGGAATGCCGGTAGCACTGATAAGCATGAACACCGTAGGCGAGCAGGACAGACGCCGTCATCTGCCGAGGGGCCATATGTGTCGAAGATGTTGTCCAGCAAGGCAAAGCCGTGAATGAGCAACAAGTCTTCGTTACTCCTGAGCAAACCCAAAACCCCAATGTAGTCGCCTTGATATTAAAATAGGGTGTTGGGGCCCATTATACTACAATGATAATAAAGAACCCCCCAAAACAGCATGAGCCATTAAATTGAGACCCCTACATAAACGTGCAGAAGGATGAGCTCAAGCAAGCGAAAATGAACAGATGATGCAGCATCAGGTTCTGCAAGGGACGGCGCTTATCTCTCCGAAACAAAGGCCGAGCATCTTATCACCATAGTTGTTGAATACCTCCGCGCCCGCTTCCACGCCCGGCTCTCCTTAGCACCATAATGAAGCAAACAGCGAAACATAAGAACCGAATAATGACAGCGACTGCCCCTCATTCAACTCATTCGAGCTCTGCCGCCTGCTGTGAAGGTGACATGCTCGTCGTCGGCAGACCAAGCCTTTGTAGACGGGCACAGACCACTCGGAGGACAGCCGCTTAAGCCCACCTATACCCCCTCATCCACACGCCGAGTACTGCCTGCAGCTACTAGCGCTGTAACATACCACGATAGTCTTGTGCAACTTAGTATGGTTTTGACCGCTGCAGCCCGAAACCCTAAACCCTAAGCCCTAAACCCCAAATTTCAAATCCTAGTCCATAAACCCTGAACCCTAGTCCCTATATGCCCTAAGCTCGAATGACTTCAAGCCAAACAGGCGGAAACCTCGAACCGAAATTCAAGTTTCAAGACGGCTTGGCGAGGAAGCTCGCCCGAAACGGCTTAGGGTTTGGGATTCAATCAGGGTAGTATCTTATGTAATAGGGCCCTAAGAAATGGTCAGCCAAGGCCACACAGCCTTCCATCGAGACACGGCTTAAAGGTTTGGGTAACATTGACGCAAGTAGACACAACCGTAATTATAGTCCGTTTTGCTTCCAGCAATGCACTTGCCACATCGACGACCACGGGCACGAAACATCATCTAACCGGATTTTGGCTTCGGTGCTAAGTGCGTCCACGTTTTATCTGCACAAGCTTTTTCACCATTGTGTGGGCCACTTTGACACGACTCCTCAAGTTGCTGTGCCGGCTTACCTGCAAACACCGGCTGAAGAACGTCCTCCATTTTCGGGCATCCCTCATTCGCTCTGCGAAAAGTCCGACCTTCCGACGCTGCTTCTGCAGCAGCAGCTGCACAAGCTCTGATGTCTGCAATCCACCTCTGCGGGCAGCACGCAAAGCTCGGAGTAGCTCCCGCAAGTCACTCGCAGCCCCTGACTGCACCAGAAAAAGTGCCACATCCTCATGGCCAGCCATGCATGCAAGGCAAAGAGAAGAAGTGTGGACAATTCCACCGGGGCAGCGGGTGGTTCCTTCCGCATGCATGTCAGCACCATGTGATAGCAAGCTACGCACGCACTGAACATGGCCAAAATATGCTGCACAGTTAAGCGGCGTGATCCACTGTATCCCACGATCATCAGCTCGCATTTCTGTGTCAGCACTAGCTTCCAGCAGCAAATCCAGACACGCAGCGCGCCCGCGATGGGCAGCATATAAAAGCGGTGTTCTATGGAAGGGCTGCGCAAAAAAACTAGCAACATTCGGATCCGTAGGACGCTGCAAGATGTCCTCTAGCCTTTCAGGATTGCTCCCGTCAACGGATTCGAAGATCTCGAATACCTGCCCATCAGACCAGGGCACAAAATCAAGAAGCAGCAACTGCACTTGGGTCACCTGCATGAGGCTGCAATCATCTGCCATCCTGCAGCCATTCTCCAAAATGGCCTGCCGGAACCGTGGTGGGGCTCCATGACGTTCATGCAACACTTTCTTCAATGTCCTGACGTCAGGCAACTCCTCCGACGGCAGCACGACCAACTCTTCACCAGACAGACACCAACACACGCAGAGCATGGCGCCACAACTGCAAGACTCGTGAGGTACTTTTTTGATGTTTCCAAAATAAGGGCCTGAACAATTAGCATGGGGTCTTGGGGTATGTTATACTACGGTTAATGATAATATGGAACCCTTTCGGCCCATATATGAGATGCACCTGCAACAACCTGAATACTGTCAACATGGATGCAAAGCAAAGACGGACACAACAGTTTGGCAAATTGAAAGAACACATCTCGTCATACAGACCCCAGGACGACTAAACAAGGAGCGTGTGAATCTTGAGGAATGTCAACCCCTAACGGTCCATGTGCTCAACTAGGGGTTCCTTTAAGGGTTACTATAAGGGTTCTATAAGGTCTATAAGCGTTCTGTAGTTTAAGGGTTCATGTAATAGTATATGCATTGACCTTAATGTAGTCCCTATATAGGTACTTTGGGGCCCATGTATCTCTACCTAGAGGCTCCATAGTAGTTCCTTTTTGGGATTCATATTTAGAAGCCTATAATGTAATCTCAAAAAGGAACTAAGCCTATGGGTATATGGTACATGGACCCTTGGGGAAATCATCTCGAGCTGCTCGCAAAGCTTCGGCTCGCGAAGCATCCATCTGTGCAACTGTCGGAAGTCAAACGAATGTTCCCAGAGACTCCAATATCCCTCAATTAAGGAATATTCCTTAAATCATATTAGGGACCCTACTATAATTTAAGGAATATTCCTTAATTAAGGGATATTGGAGTCTCTGGGTTTGCAGAAGACAGGGACGCTCATGGAAATCCGGCACAAACAATAGGATGTACAGTAAGATCAAACATCGTATCTTGGCCCAGCATCACATGCTGTCGAAATTCACATCACCCTCTGCAAATCCGAACGCCAGCCAAGACTTCACGAAACCTCAAGATGTGCGACGCATCGCCAGAATCCCCAACGCAGTAAACCCTCTACGAACCTGTGGCCGTATGGTTCTTACAATCATGTTGCAAGACCCGAAACCCTAACCCGCAAAAGGCTGTGAAGAGAGTAATTATATGTGCCCAGCAACAATCTTCGTACCACTTCGATGATTGGTGAAGTCCATGAACCTCTGGCCACGCTGCACTCACTAAAAAATATAGGACCCGTAATAATTAGAAACAGTTTTGGGGCCCACTGTACTACAGCTATAACAAGGATCCCCAAAACAGTATATGTAATTATTTAGGTTAGCCCTCCGCCGTAACTTCGTGATGCCGCGCTATATGCAGATTCGGCCCTGTCCAAGGAGGGGCACCCAGACCTTCCAAAATCCCTTAATTAATTAAGGAATAGACCTTAAATTATAATCGGGTCCCTAATATGATTTAAGGTATATTCCTTAATTAAGGGATTTTGGAAGGTCTGGGCATAAGAGGGCATTCAGACTGCACCTTCTATTGCATCGTAGTCTGCTACGCCTCGCACAAAACGATACTAACTATGCGGCATTATCCAACGACATATTATCTGCATAATGGCTTCTGTGTCTTATGTATGTGTGTGTGTATGTGTGTGTATGTGTGTGTATGTGTGTGTATGTGTGTATGTGCGTGTGTGTGTGTATGTATGTGTATATGTATGTATATGTATGTGTATATGTATAAATGTATATGCATATGTATATGTATACGTATACGTCTATGTATATGTATCTGCATGTGTGTATGCATATATGTACAAATCTGTGTATGTATATATATATATATATATATATATATACATACATATATATATATATATATATGCACATGTATATGTATATGCTTAGGTATATGTATATGTATATGTATATGTATATGTATATGTATATGTGTACATATGTGTACATATATATATATGTGTGTGTGTATTTGTATGTGTATGCTTACGTGTAGGTGCATGTGCATGTGCATGTGTATGTACATGTACAGGTACATGTAGATGTGTATGTCATGTACGTATCTGTGTATGTATGCATGTAAGTGTGCCTGTGTGTGAATATTTGTGTCGCATATGTGCATGCTGTATATGTGCAAACTCCGCATGCACATTGTGTTTGTGCTTGCATGTAGCCGCCACTGCACAACGTGTTGCAGGTAACTGTGGACATACATAGCATGTATACATGCACCAGCATCTCCATCTTCATGTCCATGTCTGTGTCCGGATCCTTGTTCACACGTACCTACACTCGCAAATGCTGAGAATTAAGGGCAGAATTGGCGCAGCGCTTGCCTCGCTTCAGTCGGTTTGGGGTTTAGAGGGGACATGTGTTCACCAAGGTTGTGGGTTTAGGGTCTCGGGTGTATGGTTCAGGGTTTAGGGTTTCGGGTTTAGGCTTCGTGTCGATGATGTAGCGACGAGACTGGCAGCAGCTGGCACTATCCAAACATCCCATGCATCCAAAGCACGGAACCATGGCTCCTTCACCGTCCGACTCTTCCTGTTCCCACGCCAGCAACAAGTAGCTAAATCGGAGTAGGGTTCAGCGTACATCCAATGACATCACTACCTATAGTCTCCATTGTAGTTCCTTTTTTTGTTAACCAAAATCTCTATTATAGGATCCTAACCATAAAACTGGTTAACCAAAAAACGGAACTACAATGGGGCCTGTGGGTAGACCTGCAAGACCAAAACCCAAATAACCCTCAACTGATCAAGTGATTCGATGTTTGGAAACCCAGAGGATGATTTGCCGTGCCCGATGTGGGTGGGTTGTCAATATTAGGGTCCCTTTTTGGGGTGCTTACTATAATACGGCACCCAATTTTTAGGGTACCCAAAAAGGGACCCTAATTTTGATAACCACCCATGTGGCTTAGTGTCTAGCTTTGTTGGGTTGGGACGTTCTGCTATACTTGTAAATGCGGGCTGCGCGGTAATGCGGGGATCAGACAGTTATTTAAACTAGGATACCCAGTAACCTAAGAATAAAAAGACCTCTCTTTTTGGTATTGGGTAACTTTATAATGAACCTAGGACTACAAAAAGGGAATAAGGGTACTACTGGGCATCCTAGGGAAACCCCTAGGAGACCCAGCAGCACCCTGTAAGTGCCCAGGTAAACCTCAACAGGTCACTTCCCCTGGCCCTCCCCAGTTCAAACCGCCTGAACTTACCCATAGGCTCCATAGTAGTTCCTTTTTGGGACTACATTATAGGATTCTAAATGTGAATCCCAAAAAAGTCAAACTGTGCCGACAAACCTTGCCAATGCCGCTTGAGCCTGCACTGCCAGAGCATGTACCTCGCCGTGCGCCCTTAGACACTTGGCTGCAAAGCCCTGCTGGCCCCTTGTTCCTGCGTGAAGCCCGCTGGGCTTTGCTTCCCCCTTCGGCAGCTGTCAACAGACTCCGTGCCTGCAGTCCGGCTGGGCGTACCTCCACTGCGCAGCTGATCGACTGGCTTCAATCCCAAAGTGTGCCACTCCTGATCGAGCAACTCCCCTCCTGGGGCCCGAACTGCCCTCTCTGGCGAGAAGCACTGTCTTGTTTAGCTCTCCGGTGTCAATGCCCCAACTCGGGTGTCGTAATGCGCGCAGCCGCCTGCTGGGCGTGCGGCGGGACCGACTGGCCTGCACAACAAGGCGGTGCTCCCTTGGCCTGCCCGTGGTGCAAAGTCCAGGGCCCCAACCAATGCGCCTCCTGCCATGATACCATCCACATTCGCGGCCAATGCCGCTGGAACATGGGTGCACACCCAGCTTACTACCGTGATGCATCGTCTCCAGCAATATGCCCAGATTGCTGGACTTCCTTCGTCCAGAGCCTCGCGGCGTGCCCGCGCCGCCGGCGAGTGCCGTCCCTTCCTCACGAGTTGCTCACTCATATGCGAGCACAGGCAGCGGGTTGCCTTCCTGGTGCAGGGTCCTCTGCGCATCTTGTCCCAGAGCTGCGATTGCGCCGGGTTCGTAAGTGGCTCCTGGCCCACATTCGTGCTCGAGGGCAGTGCGGCGTGGATGTGCTCCTTCAGGCACTCCTGCTCCGAGCGCCCACTGCAGACCTCGGGCCTGCATGCCCGCACCGTTCTTTCCCAAGCCTGCAGAGCTTTGTGCACAGAAGGCCGCGCCTTCTTCACGGACGGCGTTCTCTGCCCGCTCCCAGGCTAGGAAAAAGAGAACGCCTTGCTCTATACTTGCAAGTACCTGGTACCCGGCGCTCCTTGCCTTGTCAAGCCTGCTCAACTGCCGCTGCTGTTTGCCCTCAAACCGCTCGTCACGGCGCTACAAGCCCTCCTCCTCCTCCTCCTCCTCCTTCCTCTGCGATGCTTGGCTGCAAGTTTCCAACCCCTCTTGAACCTTTCGTGGAGGGGGCGCCGATGACGTTTGCGGAGGCCCCCCCTGAGATACGGAAGGGGAAGAGTGCGGTGACCGCGGTAACCACCGTGGGTCGACCCCTACCTACCTACCTACCTACCTACCTACCTACTTCTATGCAGCCTCTAGGTAGACACAAACACTCCGGAGCCTTTGCAAAGCTACGGACATGGTTGGAAACAAAACCTTTAAGCCACCCTTCCGCAGTGCTCGTGACCTTAATTGATAAACACTACTGATATGTATATTGGTGTGTAACTGCATCCCTGCATACATATATATATATATATATACACATGTATGTATATACATATATATATATGCATGTATGTGTGTACGTACTTAGGTAGGTATGTATGTACGTCGGTCCGCCGAAGGGCAACCTACTACCTCATCGCCGGTGGGGCCCTCGAGACGGGATCAGAGGACTTAGCAAGAAGGCTAGAAGAAAGCTCATAAGCAGTATACCTCACAGGTTGAGCTACCTCTTACCAGAACGACGACCTACTTAGTTGGTCTAAAATCTCGAGGGTTCAGGTTAGTTGGGGGTTTAGGATACTCTGATCTTCCAATGTGCCTCCATCTCCTCTTCGGCATGCCGCTGCCAACCTAAAGAAGCAGTGGAAATGTCCGAATCCCAAGCTGCCAAACGCTCTGTTCGAGGTCTCACGCGTTTTGGGGTTTGGGGTTTCGGGA